TTTTTGAGGTTGATCAGTATCTTTTTCCTCAACGCGAGACTGGACAGCTGGTTGACGTGAAATTAGAATTACATGGCGGTAAGGTTTACAGCCCATTTTCTTATTTTGTGGGGTCATACTCTTGACAAGCCTTCTGTGTTAATTGGAGAAGTGACCGCTGTACCGCCCTTTTTCGGGGTTGAGATCGACTGCTGTTCGGTTAGCTGCTATAGTCGCGCCTATATTCTGCTGCTCGTTTTCCTGCAGATCTTAGTGCTATACCACTGAAGAACGCATATTCCCTTCCATCCATTTCCGTGGCGGTTCTCCTTGCCATTCGAATTCAAATGTCTCGCGGGCGTGGTCAGTAAAACACAACGGTCCACGAGAGTTTGCTTTCTGTTCGGTCTTTTGCGCATCAAGTGGCTCAGTTCAGCACGTCGTTACTTAGCCGCTTGGCGTTGCTGTTGTGGACCACTATTTTGAAGCAACAACCCTGGGTCCATACAATTGTTACACATCAAGTGAAAAGACGCATGGGTCCCAATCAAGAAAATATGAAGTGCTGCTAGAGTAAAAAGGGCAGTTGAAAAGACGCTATAAGGCGCTCGATAGGTGGCCAAACTTGGTCCGTCCGCCTTTTGGTCGACACGCCCCTTGGCCATGAGAACGCAGGCAACCTAGATTACGTGGCGGGTAAGATGGCTGATAGAGTAGATATGATACACACATCACATTTGCGGCTGTGTTCGAAAAACTCGTCTGGACGTGTCCGTCCCTCATCTCAAGATGGAAGAGGGTCTTTGTTAAGGGCTTCATAGGTGATTCCTCCTAATTTTTATACTGATTATCCACACTTTCACGATCGATCGGTGTCACCTCATCAATTTGATCTGGTGTTGTTTCTTTGAGTCCGAAATTCGGTTCTGATAATTTTGTGGTCCTTTAGCCGGTTTTTTTTTCTGGGTAACATCTGTAAACCATGGTGGAACATTGAAAAACTTCCTTTCTTGGAATGGTTCTGTTGGATGCCGAAAAATTACTTGAGCATCGTTATTTGTCTCCCAAGATCCGTGAATTTCTCATTCAAGGAGATTCTACATTGGTATTGAGTTGTGGTCTTCTCAGACCATAGAAAACAACAAGTTTATAATCTTCTCAGACCATAGAGAACGACAAGTTTATGTGATTACATAGCTTCATGTTCTTCTTCAGCAGCTGAACAGTGAAGTCGTCGAGGTTGATTATGGGAGTGTGAAGAAGAATGGCACATCACGCATGGATAATGTTGTTGTTGGGAAAGGGAAAAAGGTGAGCACCATGAGTAGATTGGAATGAAGTGTTGCTCTTCATCTACAATCATTTAGGGAGGTCTGCATCTGCAAAAGGAGACGCGGCTGTGCACGATTCGTTGCAAGAATGGTGAAGAAATCGTCATAAGAGCAGGCGTTAAAGGAGGTTTGGCTGAGGTAAGGCTTCGTGAAAGTAGTATGACAATTGCCTCTGCTTCTGCCTGAATGTGAGCTGTTCAGGTGAACGATAGACTGGTTACCAATCCGGATCTTGTAAGAACTGCTCCGGAAAATCAGGTGAGCAAATAAGGAACAGTTGAATGTTAATTCTATCCTTCCGCGTTTTATACTATCGAATTCTATTTCCCGATTCTTTTGAAAATCAGCTTTGCCGTGCGCAGCCCGATCGCTGGCTTGTCAATCCTCGATTAGGGCGCATTCATAGTTGGTCGTCCGATCGTAGCGATTGTTTATGCGATACCGTATCGCACAGATCCGGTCGCACAAGGGAGGCGACGCGGTACCCATTGCAAACCCGGACAACACGTGAATGGGCGTAGCGGTATTTCGAAATTCCGATTGTTCGAGTGTGGAGCAGTAGATGCGCATCGATCGTGCGTGTCAGATCAGACGATCGTGTCTGATGCTGTGTAATCGTTACGATCGGACGACCGACTGTGAATGGGCCCTTGGTGTTTGGTTGCTTTATAACAGGCGCTTGTTGAAAGCAGGATGAAAAACCGTCGGGTCTCCGTACAATGGTCGATTTCATAGCACATTTCAACGGGTAGCCTTGCGAGTTTGTATTATTGTGTTTGTACCTTTGTTCCTTCCTATTTTTTTGCAAAGTCAGCGGCTGAATTTTCCTTTTTTCTAGGGTTACATTGCTATAATCACATACGGTGCAGGAAAAAGAACACCGGATGAGTTCACTACAGTGCTGCCGTCGAAAGAAGTAATTCTCAAAAACTATGGAGAGAGCGCGTTAGAGGCAAAACTGGCTCAGACGTTGTAACGAATCAGATATGAGATGGAAGCTGATGTGGGTCTTCCGCTTTCTAGGGATCGGCAGTTTGCTAGCTTGTATTGTTTTTAGTTGCGCTGGGTAGTTAAGTGCACTGACAGTCTCGTGGTAATGCTGTTTGAGTACTAGTGTGTATTCTCCAAATTCTTCCATGAGTATAGAAAGCGTGGAAGAGCAAACTGCGAATAAATTCACTAAAATGGGTGCCAGTGTTGGTACTACTTCTGTTCATAAAACGTATACGTAATTTTATCCAGAATTAGTTTCAAGTTTAAGTTTATCACGTCGCAAGGACTTGGTGAATTGTTGATAGTGTGTTGTACTTCGTCTATTACTCACGTCAGTGTAAAAGTAGTTCTAAGCTCTTTTCATCTTCATAGTATGTATCTCCATATTATAGGTAGCTTTCTAGGTTTTGATGGGCTGCTGTTAACTTCTGATCTTGTCCATTTTAATGCTGTTATTAGGGTCAGTGTGAAACGGGCAAGGTGCTTCATTGTCCTAAAAGTTGTTCTATTCAGGCCTGTTAATGTTGAAAATTCTGTATCCATCTGTTGTTGATTTGCTGTTAGTTTTGTTGATAATAATGATAAGTGTGAACATAAATGTAAACTTTTTTCGTGGGCGTCGGTTGCCGACTTTTGTTTCAATAACAAGAAGGGCAGTGACAACGGTTACGACACGATCTGTAAGATAATGGCTCTCATGAACTACAAATAGAACCTCCAATCCTTCTTCCCAACTATCTAGAAAGGCCCTCACCATCAGGTCATCACGGTCGCCAATTCAAGATGAGACTTGTATTGCTGGGTGTGCTTCAAAAGCTTATCTATAATCTGCCTTCCGGATTTGCTTAACGATTTTCAAAACGAAATTATGATGGCTTTTTCCGTGTTTTTTTTTTATACATGGGGTAAAAAGGGAGGTGTTTCCGCATGTCGCAATTTTTTTCACGATTTTTTTCGCCACACAAATTGCCGCTGTCTACGGAAGTCTTGAAGCGAAATATTCAGATGTCTCACTATAGGCAAGGAAGCCCTTCTTCACGTCTCTAGAATACGACATCATCTACC